TCCGCAGGTATTACGCCTCATGAAGTATATAGACATACATACAGGCAAATCACTCAGACAAATAAAATAAAAATCAATAAATTCTTTTTAAATGAGGGAAAAACAGGGGGAAAGGGTTTCAAAAAAGTCTACTCTAGTTAGTTTCAGCTCTATCAGGTAATAGCAGATCTAGTTAGACGCCCTCTGCAAAAAGGAAGAAGTTGTACCCCTTTCCCAGCATGTTTTCCAGTATTTCAATTCTAACAGAGCTAGACACATCCAACACATATTTCACAATTACAAAATAGGTTTCTGTCTAATTCAAACAAAAGATTTCCTATGCAAAAATCTCTCTTGGAATCAAATTAAGAAAAGATAAAATAGAATGAGGTTGCATGTTATGATGTTTAATAATTCACTAAGGCTTGTCACCTGAAGCACTATAATGACTTTCTATTTATAAGCACACGATATAATTTTAAAGACACAATGCTGACACCACCTAGTAAGTTATTAAGGTGACAAGAATTACTTGTGGAATTAAGACAATTTAATAAACCTGTGATGTTGTGTCTAAGGTAATAGCAAATGGAGCCTTAAGTAAAGTCCTGAATTCTTTCTCTACCAGTCAAGATTAACGGTAATCTTTGTGGCCATTTTCCTGGTTCTTAGCTAATGGAGATGGGAACATAAATGGAGCTTTAGATAACAGTATATAGACTATGGAATTCTGCTCTACTTTTCCTGTAAGGACAGATCTAGGCATCATTCCAATAAGGTACTATATTCAAATATAATTACTGGCAGGCATCCCAATCTATTATTTGGTTTGGAAATTGGAGCTCCAGGATGTGTTTGGCAGGACAGACAAGACTTATTTTCTCCTAAATGTAAGGGTCAAATCATACCTTAGTCACATGAATATGAGCCTTGTCTCTTTATTTTGAAGTCAGGACAATACAACCAAAAGTCAGGGGATTGAGGAATTCTATTACAGGGAGTAATAGAGCCTATCAGAAAGCGCCTAACCCATTTCTGTTATATAGTAACTACTCAAATGAAAAAATGAAGGGATAAAGCCAGGCAGTGGTGGTGCAGCCTTTATTCCCAGCACTTGGGAGGCAGAGACAGGCGGATCTCAGAGTTCAAGGCTCCAAAGCTACAGGGAAACTCTCTTGAAAAAACAAACAAACAAACAAAAGTATCTGGAGCCAGTGAGATTGGTTAAAGACACTGCTGCCAACCCTGATGACCTGAATTCAATCCCCAGGTCCCACACGGTAGAAAGAGAGAAACAAGTTTTACAAGTTGTCCTCTGACCTCCATGCATGTACAGTGGCATTTGGCAAGTACACATAAATACAATAAACAAATGTTATAAGAAATTTAGTTATTGACCTTAACATTATGAAGTTTAACATTTAGAGTTAGTAAACAAATATGTTATTATTTTTTACTTATAAAACTCTAAGAGCCAACTTTTTAAATGGAAAGCCTCATTATGTTGCTCAGGCTGGCCATAACTTCTAGACTCTCCAACCTGCCTCAGCCTCCAGAGTAGCAGAAACTATATTGGGCTCACAATCAGCTTTTGGTCATCACATACAGTTAACTTTTCCCCTTTCATCTCACATGCTTGTGGGAGGAGCTCCTCTCACACCCCAAACTTAAGCCTTTTATGTTGTGAAGAGGTGCTATAGTATAATGGTTAAGAGCCAAATCTTGCAGGTACATAATAATTTCTACCTCATAGGATTACTGAATGGATTAACATACAAAACACAACATAAAAAGCACCATATGTATTATTAAATGCATATTAATTTAATGTATCTGAATACAGGATTCAAGTTATGACTTCTCAATTCATACCTTCAATTCATGAAGCTTTAGACTAGGTAAAAACTCAGAAACAACTTTTAATTAAAGTTTTTTCTCAAAATATACCTCTTTGGTGGATCAGTTAGGGGGCTATATATTCATGGGGGTGTATAATCAGGCTTCCTAAGTGTCGACAAAATGAAAGGTTGAAAATTAACAAAAAATTGTGGAGGAGTTCAGGCAAGATGGCACACTGGATAACAGCTACTACCTGAGTTTGATCCCTGGATCCACTTGGTGGAAGGACAAAACTGGCCCCTGTAAATTATTTTCTGACTCCCACATGTACACATATGTATACATACAAAACAAATAAAATTGAAAAAATTAAACATTATTAATTTTAAAACCCAGGATTTGGCCAGAACAAAAGCAAACCTGCTGTAAACAAATGTAAAAAAACATTCTGTTTCATTTCAACTAAATAAAAGTTATCCACTATTAGGCAAGTTCCAGATAATTTCTATTTTAACATAACATGCTATCCTGATTTATATGAATATTATAATCTCATATTAAGCCAGTACCAAAAATTATGGAGATGGGGAGCATAAAACAATCCACTTTCTAATCTTTCCATATTTGAAAACAATTTTTTTTGAGATAGGTCTCACTCACTATGTAGCACTGGCTGGCCTTAAACCCACAGAGCTCCACCTGCCCCTGAAGTGCTAGAATTGAAGGTGAACACCACCATGCCCAGCCTTTCTGTATTTAAACCAGGTTTACTGGCCACCCCTTTTCCTATCCTTAGCATAATAGACAAGAAAAAGCAACAGGAAAGTAAAAAAAATAGACAAACAAACAAACAAAAGCTTCAGTGCTGGAAAGCAAATTCAAAGCCTTACACAAGCCAAACAAGTGTTCTATTATTAATATCCCCAGCCCTCTGAGAGGGTTAGTTTTTAACAACAGCCTTTATTATCAATCTCAGTCTGCTATTTAAAAAACAAGTTTAACTGATCCAAAGGATTCCATATGTTCAACACATCCTACCAGCCCCATAGGGAGAAAACCTGACTCACATACATAGATATTTTATTTCCTGAACTCATTTTCCCTGAACAGTTCTCTACCAAAGTTAATAAGTTCAGAATGAGTGATCATTCAGTCACATAAGTTTACTGTTAGTGTAAGAAGTAGAAAATAAGGAAGAAAAGTGCATACAATTCTCACACTAATCATAATCTAGTTAAAGGGTATGGGTTTTTAAACTTTATTTATTTTTATTTTATGTCCAACTGTGTTTTGCCATGGGTGTCAGGTCTCCTGGAACTGGAGTTACAGACAGTTGTGAGCTGCCATGTGGGTGCTGGGAATTGAGTGCTCTTAGCCACCGAGCAATCTCTCCAGCCCCCAAGGTATAGGTTTGTTTTATAATACATACTTTTATGTGCATTGATGTTTTGACTGTATGTATATCTGTGTGAGGGTGTCAGATCTTAGAGTTACAGACAATTGAGAGCTGCCATGTGGGTGCTGGGATTTGAACCTGGGTCCTCTGGAAGAGCAGTCAGTGCTCTTAACTGCTGAGCCATCTCTCCAGCCCAAGGTATTGATTTTTTAAATTAGCAGTACATAAATAGTTTGTGAGTCACCTTTGCATTAAATTGCTTTAAAATTTATGTCTTAAGGAATATTAAAAACAACTTTTTAAAGCCATTGTCAATGCCTTGAGCAGCTATTTATCTGTCACTACATGACAACTGTACTTTGGCTTGAGCAAAAAATAATGCTTTCTAATAGCAAATGCCAACAAGGAAAAAAACTTAAAAATAAAAAAACTAACACTAAATTTGATCAAATATTTTAAGATGCCTTGCACCTGTATCCTTAAGGAGTGAAAAGATACTTAATTCCTTGGATTGACATATGGCTCTCTTAGCAAACTTTCACTTCCCTTAACCAGGAACACTACGACTATCTTATACTATGCTTTAGTCCCTGCTAAACTGTTTCTAAAATAACCCCTTGGCTGTAATACATGTGTGTGACACATTCGTGTAAAAATAATTTTAATCCCGTGTTTAGTTTCCTTATCTGTAAATGGGATAAGGATAAACTTACCTTGCGGGTTGCTGTGAGGAGAGGTTCGGTGTACCTCATTACTTTCTATAAATTTTCTAAGGACACAGGAATGATCATACACTATGATATATACACTGAGTGTGGCAAGTGATGTTCAGCTGATCTGAAATTCCTTTTACCTTGTTTCTGTGATATAAACTGGCTGTTCATTAGTTCAAAAACATCAAACAATGTTACTCCTACCAGATAAAGGATATACTAGTAGCAACAAAGACAAGTGATCTTTGCCTGGATCTATTTTTAGGAATGGTTTAATTATCTACACTCCTAGAGTTAAGACTGGAAAATAAACAAGTGGGTGAAGGGCATCAGGGCATCAGATACCCAAAAAAAAAAAAAAAAAAAAAAAAAAAAAGGCATGGCACCTTCATGGCTTTCAAAAAGAAATGGTTAGCATTTAGAAGGCTCTGGGTTCTACACCAAGCACTGCAAATACTAATTAATAGTAATAATAATTTTAAACATGGCAAAAACCCCATCTACCATTTCTCCCTAAGCAGTAGTCCTTACTGAGACAAGAAAGGTCAGAATTTGCAGAGAGATTTAAGAGGAATTGCTGAATCGATCAGTTCAGACTGCTCAGACTACAAGGTCCACGTCTAAATATAACCAAGAGGAAAACTGCAACCTAGCAGTTAGTTGGTTTTAGGAAATCCCTACCTTATAATGTCAAAAAGGTCATTTTTAGTTAGTTTCTTCAGATAGACAGGAAACATTCATTAGTTTTCACAACAAAACACATATCTGCTACATATTACCATTCTTAAGCAAGTGAAGAAAATTCTCTTATTAAACAAGAAAGGTATTATAAGTAATTAGGGTATCACTAACTACCTGATATCTGTAGTCATAAAGGGAAAAATTAAGGCCCAAGAAACAAGTGACTATTTTTTGTTCCAATTACACTCATTTGCTAAAATAAAGACAGGTAATCAATTTATTTTCTAAGATCTCTAATATGGACACAGACAATTCCAATTCTTTCATTCCACAGATACTCTACCACATGACTTCCTTATTCATCCTAATTTATTAATGGAACAACATCTTACCGGAAAAGGAAAAATGGTGTCAGCCCTGTTCAAGCTATCTTCCATCCAGGATTTGGGAGCAAAGGCTGAGCTAGGACGAGCATACTTCTGGAGCTGAATATGATTGCTTGTAAAATTTTTCTTCAAAGGTGAGATGGAGTTCAGGGGTGTTATTCCACCATTCAGCCCTCTGCGGTGATCTCGGCCTTGAGAAGCTCCCCAGCCACCATAGCCGCCACCTCCTGGGCTCCAGGAAGAAGAGGGGGTTGGAGAGGGACTCTGGTAGCTGCTCCATGGAGAAGGAGGTTTGCTAAGATTATTCGCCAAATGAGGCAGCTGGTTAAAAGCAGCATTTCTATGTGTGAAAGGTGGGGGGTGGGGACTGGCAGGAGACCTCCTTTGCTGCTGATGCTGGCTGTGATGATGCTGGAAGTGGGGGTGATGAGGATGGTGCTGGGAGAGAGGACCGATCTGAGGGGAGAAGCTACCACCAAAGCCAGGGCTGACATGATGGGGAAAATTTTGAAACAACAGAGCACCATTATTAGCTGAAGCGCCAGGGACCCCACCCTGGTGAAAGAAACTTGCATCTTCATTGATTATCGTGGAGGAAGAAGGTGCTATCGCTGCTGACCAGTTACTGAAGCCAGTAAGGGACGATGCACTAGATGTCAAGGGTTGGGTGGAAGTACCGAGGCCCGTGGTTTCTTGATAATCAAACCCTGTCAACACTGGTGATTCAATGCGTATTTTTTCTTTTCCATTGCTGTTTTCTGAAGAATTGTCCCCTGGATTTTCTTCAGCTTTTGCCTTTTCACTTTCAGGCAATATTCCAGCTTCCTGACCTGGACTGGGGGAGAGTTGTTGCTTTTCTAAAGGGTCTTGTTGTTCCTGCTGTTGATTTTTTCCTTTTTCTGACCCCAAGATCTCATCCTGAATGTTATGGGTAGCTGGAGCAGGGAAGAGCCAAGCTGACCCAGCACTGCTGCCGTTGGCAGCTGTGTTATTATTTATAAAAGCAGCAGGGTTGGGGGTGGCATTTTGGTGATGGTGTGGAGGCTGCAGATGTGGATGGAATCGGACTGGAAAAGCAGATTTATTCCCAGTATTGCTTTGTACTAGCACTCCAAACCCGTAATCCCCCATTTATTATTTTTAGGATCAGAATCTCACAACAAAAAAAAAAGACAATCTAATGTCTTGCGTCTTTTCCTCTGTATTTCAAATTTGTTTGCTTGAAGTATCTTATTTATAGCTAACTCAAAGATCACAGCTTATCACCCTAAGTATCTCTGATTTGGAACTCTGGTCTCTCTGGAAGGAAAAACAACTAAAAAAAATCTCTTAAAATATTGATATGAATCCAATTGGGCTTATTTTTAGGCGGGAATAAAAAAGGAAAAAGGTAAAAATCAAGTCTTTGGTTAGTAAAATAGGCGCTTTCTTTTTCCAAAGGAAAATGTACATGAATGACAAAAACACAGCTTCTCAAGCATCTATGGATATAGAAGAATAAGCATTGTGCAGAGTAAAAATATATATATATAAAATTTAACAATCACATATGGTCTTCCTCAGCAGTTTAGATTCACATAAAAATTAGAATAGGATTAAGGGGAGAATACGTTCTTTTCTTGGCAGCTTGGTTAAAAAAATCAGGAATAATTTAAGAACATTATATATTATATATTTATATATAGATAGATTATATTAGGTTATCTGGGGCGGGAGGTGAATTTCTGGTTGCCAAAGAGGAAATCAGCCTTGACTAAAGGGAAGATGATTGCAGGGAGGTTTCTGCTGTTCCTGGTCCTGTTTCTGTTCTTTTGTAGGGTGCAGTGTGGGCCTCTGGGGCTGTTCCTGGGGCTCCGGGTGCAGATCTTGCTGCGTTTGCTGTTCTTGTCCCTTCGGCCTCCTCTCCCCCATGAAAGGGGTTGGAAACACCCGTTTCTCCCTCTGGGGGGTGTCGCGATCAGGAGGGATTAGCGAGACTGGACAAGGGCGAGCTGGCGGCCCGGGGGTGCGGGGACCAAGGGGGCGACCTGGAAGGTCCTGCGGTTTCTGCCTCTTCCCCTCTCTGCGGCTCCGGGATTTTTTTCCCTCATGGGACCCAGGGGCGGTTTGTTCAGTTCTCTCAGTTCGATTCTCCGCCGGGGGGGAGGGGGAAGGGGGAGGATGGACAAAAAGGAAAACCCCGCTACCGTAGTTACTCTAAAGGAGAAAGGCCTCCCCCCTGGGCTTGCGATCTCTTTCCCCCTACACTGCTTGGAAACTATAATTTAGAAGGCTTTTGTTTCTCCTCACGGTTGCTGGGCCGCCGCCGCCGCCGTCGCTTTCCCCGGGTCCCGCAGTCCCAGCTGTCGTCGTTGTGGACTCCGCCTGGCTCTTCTTTTGCTTTGCTTCTTCCTCCTCGTCTTCCTTTGCCGTCCGCCGCTGCCGCTGCCGCCGCCTCCGCCGCCGCTGCCGCCACCGCCTCCGGTGCCCGGGTCCCGCAGCCGCGGCTGAGTCCTTCTCCTCAGGACCGAGCCGAGTGAAATGACAACCAGCTGGAAAGACCGAGAGACACTTCCGGTTCGAGGAGGGAGGGGCAGGGTGTTGCGGAGGCCCCGCCCAGCGTGAGGAAGACCAATCCGACGCTACGATTCCGATTAGGCCAAGCCTCCCAGGCTCAGAGCCCCTCCCAGGAAGGTCCCGGGTCCTCTCAGAGCCGCCCCTTCCGCCTGCGCCTCGCCCAGTGGGGCCGACGCCGGAGCCGGGTCCGCGCACCCAGTGAAAGGCGTGTGCCGCCATCTTTTTTGTGGGCAAAGACTCCTTTGAGGTTTATGTTCCCAAAGTAGGCGTCTCAGGAAGCCCATAGAGAGACGTTCGGAATAGAGTGGGCTCCTTGCGCACTGAAACACTAAGCTGAATTGTTGGGGGCCAAAGTGGCAAACCCATGAAACCGAGAATAGACGAGAGGCCTGCCCTTAGTAAAGGTGGGTGCCCCAGGCATCACGTGCTCTGGCCCGAGCTCCTCCCCAGAGGGAGGGAAGAGGAGGCGGGTTTTCCCGGCAGCTGTGCTGTGCCTAGAACTGCGTTGCCCTTCCCCAGAATGTGCAGCTCCGGAGGGATTCCCTTCAGCCTCCAGTCCTCCACTCCCACCGCCTACTCTCCCGTCCTTCCTTTGAGATGCAGATGCTGTAGGCGTACGTGGTTGAGCCACCTACTCTCGGCTTTCTTCCCCACTTTCCAAGCAAAACGGAAGGTTTTTCTAAAGTCGAAAATCCAGTCTCGATCCTGTTCGGTTTGTATGGTTTTTTAATGGCTGCCCGTTACCTGGAGAGTAAAAGCCAAAGTTCGCAGTTCAAGCCATCTCGTCCTGTGGGCATTAATCTCTATGCCTTCTTCCATGCCCTGGTCTCCACTTGGCAAGCTCTATTTCTTTTGAGGACTCAGCCCCTAAACTGCCTGCTCTGCCTTCTGAGTTCTCTTTTACAGACGTACATGACCTTGCACCTGTGCGTGGATGCAGCTCACGCTTGTGTAATACATTGGTGGCTTATATCTTTAGACTGGCGCTTGCGCTATGGGTCGCGACCTCTTTGGTGGTTTCGAATGACCCTTTCTCGGGGGTCGCCTAAGACTATCAGAAAGCACAGATATTTGCATTACAATTCATAACTAGTAAAATACAGTTATGAAGTAGCAATGAAAAGAATTTTATGGTTGGGAGTCATCACAACATGAGGAACTGTAGTAAAGGGTTACAACACTAGGAAGGCTGTGAACCACCACTGCTCTAAAGAGTTGACATTGTAGATGGGAAGGAAGCACCAGGGAATGAATCTTGAATGGAAACAGAAATGGATAAACCAGCAACAATGACTCCTTCCTGACAGCTCCTATTCTCAAATCTGAATTAATAACTTAGTTCCTTATGCCATTTGGTTTGGAGCTCACATCTCAAGGTTTCACCATATTGGTTGTTTGCTGCCTACTCAAGCACCTTCTTGTCTTTGTACAGTTCTCCTCTCGTGCACTCCACTGGGGCCTGAAGTAATATGTTGCCCTCAGCATAAACTTTAGATGTATGTTGAATAAATGTTTTTCTTTCATTAGGAAATGAAAACTGAAGAAAAAAATGAAACTAGGATAGAGCTCTAAGTAATTCTAACAAAATAAGAAAAAAATTAAATATTGACCCGGTGTGGTGACACATGCCTTTAATCCCACCACCTGGGAGGCAAACACTGGATTTGTATGAGTTCCAGGCCAGCCAGGGCTATATAGTGAGCCTCTGTCTCAAAGAATCGTCATCATCATCATCATCATCATCATCATCATCATCATCATCATCTTTTATTCACTGTTTCTCTAGTTGTTCTTCCTGACCTTACCTTCTGCATCTAGTCTCTCAATTCTCCAATGCTTTTATATGGCTTACCTATGTGGACCTTCATTCAGGAAGTTTATGCTCTTTCCTTGTATATGTATCGTAGTTATCTCTGCAGTTCGGGGAGTTCTTTGAGCATAGGTATTGCTGGATCTAACTCTGCTGTTCCCCTCCTCTGCCCCTACCCTCCACATACCTTGATACTGAGCTGGCTCAGCCAGGTACTGTTTCTTCCAGAATGATTTCCCTAACTTCCCTTCACTGGAGTCTTTTAGATTCCTGTTTTTAAATTACTACTAGCTGTTAGTAGGTTAGTTTCTTAATGGCAGAGACTGTGTGTGATTTGTCTTTATATATTGCCAGTGACCAGTAGAGGATCTGGCTCAGAATAGACTGAGGACATGTTTACTTAATGAATAGATGGGTGTTCAGTGTCCAATAGATGGTCATGGGTCTCTTGGAGCTATCAGTTCTTCTCAGTATCCAAAATGGCAACTGTGGCATAAAAGAAAGTTGTCTGCCATTAGAACCTAATAGCCCTGAGTTTGAATCCCAGCTCTACTACTTCCTCCTGGTGCAGCCTTAAGCAGCACCAGTACATGTCCTTCCTTCCCCATAGATAAAATGTGGACAGTATTCTCCACCCTCTTGTTAGGTTAGTGAGTTACATGAGATCTGTGTAAGTGCTGTGCCCATGTGCAGTGCTCAAGATGTTGGTGCCTTATTAGCTAGCGTACTGAGTCCAGAGAGTTACTTAAGCTGCGTCTTTTGCCTAGAAGAAGTGACATGAACCAAGTGTCTAGGAACCTCTCTTGGTTTGCAGGAGGAGTCATGCCAAGACTCATAGTCAGTGCTTCCACTCCTAGATCGGTCTGATCATTTAAGGTTTGGTCTGGCTGAGACTAGGATGGTCACTGGGGACATCTGAGTCACCAAGGGTCAGGTGCATGGTTGGGCACTGTGAGGAAGAGAGAAGGAAGGGAGAAACTGTTCTTTTAAGTCTGTTACATACTCAGAACCCCAGAATATTCAACCCAAGACTGCCCTCCTTGAAAACACTGTGGCCTCAGAAACAGTCCTCTGATAACCATGGCAACAATTCAGCAGCTCCATTTAGGAGCTTTAAAGGGCTCTGCAGTTGCAGATAAGAGCTGGCTAGAGCACTTTGCTGGTGGTAGAGTCCTTCCCATGAACTGTGCTCACCAGGAAGCTTGCGGTTTGCAGGGCAAACATACTTTGCCCAAATGTTAAGGTGCTACCAGGTTCAAAAATAAATTTTACAAAGCTCCCTTCCTGTCTAGTATACAGACACACCCTCACAAAAACTATAGGCCAGGGAATGCCTATATGTCCCTAGCTGCTGCCCAGCCCTCTTTGGGTCTTGAAGCCAAGCACATCCCAAACCTAGAGCTTTCCAGGAAGCAATGTTAATGTCTGCGTCACCAGCCTCTTTCTTCTAACTCTTTTCAGGTGACAGAAATTTCACAGGGTGAACACTGGCTCACTAGAGCTCTAATGTCCTCACCACCACTCCTGAAACATACACTGCAGCCATTTCCAAACAGCACACACCCAAGCTATCTAGAGGCCTGTTTAATGACTTTAGCAATCATATCCTTCACCCAAGGCTGCTTATATTGTGTACTATGCAATTCTGTAAGGTAGGGAAGACTATATGTAAATGAGACCCCCAGGAGTTGTACAATGCATGGTCCCTGGTACCTTTCCTTTCTATAAAACACTGAGACACATTATAAACTATGGCACCCCTACAGAAGAAGCTACCAGAGATGACATAAGCTCATATCCACACATGCAGAATTATTTAAAGCAATTGATCCTTTTGGAGTCAGCAACCCAAGAACTTTCTAATTGAATTGAAGGACTCGGTGTCCTCATTATTGGTTGTAGTAAGAAGGTAAATGTAGACAGGTATATAGTTTGACCACACAGGAAATTAATACTTAACAACTTCTGGCTAGCAACATTAATGAGCTTTCTAATAAAATGTCAAAATATGCTTTTTAATGACTATAAAAATTATAAGAGTTAAAGGCAACTTCTGTGGAAGCAAAGAAAGAATAGAGAATGGGCTAACTCTTGGGATAGCCTCATTTCCAAGAGTGTCTGAAACTTGTGAGCTGGACAGAGATGGAACCAATTCCCAGAACAGATCTTCCTCAAATTCCACTTCTGCTCTTCACTGAGACCCAGTGTTAGGAAACGGTTCGTGTTTACTTAGAACACACCATTTTAAATGACTGATTGCTCAGTTGGTTTTTCTTCTTTTGCTTGGTGTTCTGCAGTGTGCACAAGTCTGACTTTTCCTGCTGTCTTCCCATAGCACGCTAGCCCAGAGTGCTAGTTAACAAACTGTTCGGAAGGGAACACCCAGCTCCTCCAGTGCATCCTTACTAAACAACAGGTTTGAAAAGATGAGGTCCAGCATGTGGACATGTTGCCCTTGAACTGCCTCATCCTGCAAGGACGTGGGTGAGTGAGAGCAGGGGTTGCCCTTTACAAACTGTGACGTGCATCACACGGGATAAATTGATATCCTAGTATTTCTGTTGCTGTGAAGAGACACCATGACCATGACGACTCTTGTAAGTGAAAACATTTAATTGGGGCAACTTGCTTACAATTTCAGAGGTTCAGACCGTTACTGTCATGGTCGGGAACATGGCAGCATGCAGGCAGATGTGGTGCTGAGATAGTAGCTGAGAATCCTACATCTTGTAGGCAACAGGACGTTGACAGAGACACTAGACAGTATCCTGAGCATAGGAAACCTCAGAGACCACCCCCACGGTGACACATTTCCTCCAACAAGACCATGTCCACTCCAACACAGCCACACCAAAGTGCAACTCCACATGAGATTATGGGGGCCAATTATATCCAAACTGCCACACTTGGATTCTCTCAGAGCTCCAGCTTCCTGCATGGACAGGCTGCAGATCTAGATCACCCCTTTCTGCTTTGAGTAGACACACTTTTCCTCTTGCATCAAAACCATGGCCGTCGTGCCAAGTAACTGCCATCTCACACCGCATAGCTGGGCTGTAGAATTTTACCTACACTGCCAGGGAAAGCAGCAGCTTTGCTGAGCTTGCTGGCAAGCTGTGGGGGCCAGAGGACAGAGACCTGGGAGGCAGGGGTTACGGGTTGTCCCAATAGATCCAGGAACTCACAAATACTGGTATAGTTGGTCTAATGATTTCCTCATGACCGAATTAATATTGCAAAGAGAATGTCAGTTCTGAATGTTGTTTTCTTTAAAAAAGAAAAAGTGCCTATGGGAAAGGGTGACTAAAAGTTATCCTTTTCTTTCGTGTCCAAATTTCTTGCCCTCTTGTTCTTTGAGCGTATGCTACTCACAAGCATTAGCCTACATCAGATACAGATTCCCAGGCTGGGCCTCAAGATACAAGGAGTCTTGCTTTTTGTTGTTTGTGTTTGATCCAGCTTTTCTCTGTATAGCTCCTCTGCCTTGGAACTCGTTCTGTAGACCAGGTTGGCCTCAGACTCATAGAAATCCGCCTACCTCTGCCTCCTGAGTGCTGGGATTAAAGGCTGGTTTATCTTGCATTTTCCTCATAGCATCGCCTACCATTACAAAGTAGAAGAGGCTTATTATGTAAGAACACAGAGAAACCAAACTAAGAAACGTTAAAGCAATACTGCCCCTTTCTTATGTAAAATAGTTCAGGGGACTAAAAAAGAGCTGGTGCAGTGAGTGGTTTTCAGAGCTCACTGGGAACCCAGGCGTCTGCTTTCTTTGCTCTTCTTGCCTCTAAGTGTGCCTTCCTCCTTACAGCCAAGATGCGTGGAGGGCAAAGAAAGGGATGAAGAGGCCTAAGCCTTCTCTTTGAGGAAACTTTTCAAAAGACATAGGCATCACATCTATTCTCCTATGGTTCACAATAGGCCATGTGGTCACACCTACTACAAATAGAGTCGAAAAACATGGGCTTTGTTGGTGTTCCTGGGTACTCTGTTAAAAAGTTGGGCTCTGGGGGCTGGGAAGATGGCT